GTAGCCCAGGCTGGCTTCGAACTCACAGAGATCTGCCTGGCTCTGCCTCCCGAGTGCTGGGATTAAAGGCGTGCGCCACCACCGCCCGGCTGCTTTTTCATCATTTATTGGGCACAATCTCCCCTTTACTAAAGGAATATTTAGATGACCTTCTGAGCAGTATCGCAGCCAGGACCCCTAATTTCAGGCCTTTCTGTAACTATTGTATTAGCAGCATCTGGCCAGGACCATACCCAGAGGGACAGTGAAAGGATCTTATCAGAGATCTCTCTGTGCTCTCTAGAACAGACTTAAGAATCCAGACTACCTGTTTGAGAAGGCCTGGCGGGTGTGCTAAACTTAGCCTTCTCCTTTCCAAAGTCTTATCTCTAGGTTTAGATCCACCCTTAACAATTAACTCAGAACTAAAGGGTTCCAACTTACAGGTACATCGAGCTGTGATGGAAGTTGCCTAGCCAAGTTGCCTAGTGATGGAGCACAGTCACCAGAAACGGCAGGAGCAGAGATAGCTGGAGAGATAAGGTCAAAGGGATAAAAAGGCAGTTTTATCTTCAGAGAACAATTAGACGGAGAAGAGAACTGGAGAACTAGATGGAGAACTTGAGGACGAGATGGAAGGTGAGGAAGAGCCAGATGGGGAAGTACTAGATGGGTAAGAAAGATGAGAAGAACCTAGATGAGGCAGAACTAAGATGAGAGAATTAATATAGAACTTAGAAGGAACAGTAGATAAATATGGAGAGAAATCAGGCAAGAGAGGAGCCAGGCACGAGAACAGAACTGGAGCTGTGTAGATAGGATTTTATCCCAGAGGAATAAAGTAGATGGACAAAGAGCTCAGTGTACTTAGATTCTTTTCCCGAAAATAATTCTCACCATTTGTAGTTTCTCTTCTGGGCCCCTAGGGAGAATATTATTAAGGCTGGTCCTACAATAATATTCGAGATGTCTCAGATTCAGCTGCATCACCAAAAGCTACCCCAGTGAGTGCCAGCTTATGGAACCTGGAGCTTGGTGCACAGCCTTCAGACGGCTGAAGAGGTTGGAGGGTCTTTCTTCCAGGCAGTTCAGCTTATCTGCGAGTCTCTCTCAAGCAGTCCTGACGGCTTAAATACGCGTGGGGAAGGAGGAGCCTCGGGTTTATGTTTATTTTTGATAGGGTTTCGTGGTTAGCCCCATGACCTGGACCTCAGAGATCCACCTGCCTCTACCTCCCGATTAAAGGCACAATGCCATCACACCTGGCCTTGTCCCTGCTTTTTATTTTTTTTTATTTTTTCCTCTTTTGAGTTAGCGTCTCTTAGCATAATCCCGGCTGTCCTAGAACTCACTATGAAAACCAGGCTGGCCTCAAACTCAAAGCTGCTTTTGAGTGTTTGAATTAAAGGTGAGCTAGAGCTAAAAGTGAGCTGTCTATAACCGGGATCCAACACTCTCACACAAACTAACATACAGGCAAAACACCAATGCACCAAAAAAAAAAAAAAAAATAATAATAATAATAATTTTTTTTTCTTTTTTCCGGAGCTGAGGACTGAACCCAGGGCCTTGCGCTTGCAAATCGCTCTACCACTGAGCCAAATCCCCAACCCCAAGAATATTTTTTAAAATTTATTTGATGTGCATTGGTGTTTTGCCATGGTTGTCAGGTCCCCTGAAACTGGAGCTACAGACAGTTGTGAGCTGCCATGTGGGTGCTGGGAATTGAACCTGGGTCTTCTGGCAAAGCAATCAGTGCTCTTAACCGCTGAGCCATCTCTCCAGCCCTGTCCTCTGCTTTTTGAGGCACACATATCTTGGTTTTGGAAGCTGCTTGGAGGGAAACTGAGAGATAAGCTGTGTGGAATATCTACGAAGCATCTCTCATCCACTTGTATCTTTTTTCCATCTCTGCTCCCACAGCTCTGGTTCCGCCTTGTACAGAGCTGGTTAATTCAGTGTGCATGTGAGAAGCAACCTCAGTACTGGAGTGCTCCCAGAGGCCTGCGTGTAGAGTTCTGTGATCTGCACGTGTGGGGGCGGGTGCACACATTGTTAAATTAGGTCTGTGTACTGTGTGTCGTCTTGGCATCCTTGTGTGTGATATACTAGCGTACATGCTGTGTTTGAGGATGTAAAGGGTGCGTACTGGGATGAGGTTGCTATGAACGTAGGCCACCTTACTGACTAAACAGGAGAATTAGCTGTATGGGGCCCAGAACCAAGAGGCCTATGGGACTGGAGGAAGGGGAGCTGGAGTGGATGGTCTAGTGGAGTGTGGGGAGGTACCATACACAGTGGAGGAGAGCCATCATGTCATCACGGGGAACCAAAGCCAGGACACCCGCAATCCACCTTCAAGAAGACTACTCTCTGAACTGTCAGGGGCGGACCTTGTGGATGCCCGGGCCTCGCCCTGGAAGGCAGGGCGGGTCCCCAAGTGCAAAGCCTCTGGAGACTGAAAGGGGCGGGGCCAGTACCTGCTCGGGGCGGGGATTTCTGTCGGGTTTTTCTAGAAGTAGGGACCAGGGAGAGCTAGGCATGCGACTGAGTGCAGGGTCTGTAATGTAAAGGCAAAAGCAGGTACTGGCGTTAAGGGCGTGACGAAAGGGACCTGGAAGGAGCTGGAAATCCCGGATGAAGAACACGCCTGACGCTTAGACCCGGGCTGGAAGACGGGGAGGGGGGAGGCGGGCTGGGGGTTGGGTAAGCATGAGGCGGAGCTAGGGGCTGGACTGGAGTTTACAGCTGGGCCGAGGGCTCCACCACGCTGAGGTTCAACGTTGAACTCTACGAGGTAGAGTCCTGTGGAAGAACTGGGCTGACAACGATGTGGGTCAGGACGACACTAACGATTAAAAGATGGACTGAGGAAAAGCCTGGCTGCAAAACTGACATTTGGGACAAGAGCGAGAGCACCGGTAAAGGGGCGGGGCAGAAGGCTGGGGGCGCGGCTGGGCGGGGCTCTGTAAGATCGCCTGCCTTGGCCAGGAGCAATCGCTCCCGTGCCAAGGCGCAACTACAGAGCATTAGGCTGCAGTCAGCCGCTGGCCTAGCCCGCTGCCCCAGAGGCGCGAGGCTCCGGCAAACACCATCCCCCTCTCCCCGGCCCATTGCTCACCCTGGTGCCGGGGATGGGCGATCGGTTCCATTGACCTTGAGTGTGGGAAGGAGTCTGAGGATTCCACAAGTGACATCACAATCACTTCTAAGATGGGGCCTGAGCCTGGGAGACACTTCCCAGGAGAAGACTCAGTGCCCCTTGCACCCTTCTCTTACTTAGTTTCCTCCTTTCTCCTCTCTTCACACTGTCTCCTTTTGGCTGCTCTGTGCCCATCCTCTGGGCCTCACAGGAGGGGAGGGGCTTCGCAGGACAAGGAGGATCCTCTACAAATGAGCATCACCAGTGAGTTTGAGTTTGACCCTTGCTACCTGTCCCAAGGAAGAGACCACAGCGTTTCTCTCCCTTTCAGGCTATTATTCGTCCTCATTCTGCTGCAGGAGCTCTGGAGGGCTGCCTCGGTCACAGCTGCCCTCCATCCTCTGCAGACAGAGGGGCAGGCTGCCTTTCTCAATCCCGCTCCCTTTCCATCCTCCCTACTTCCCTCCCATACAGCTGATGGTGGGTGTCAGCATCTACAAGGCCTGTTCATAGAGGCAGGAAAACCAGCGTAGTTTGATCCTGACCTAGGCACAGGCCCTTACTAGAGTGACTAGGATTCACACTGAAGAGGGGAAGCTGTGGATTTGGAGTGAGAAAAATCAGCAGTGAGGAATTAGCAAGGTTGGGGATTAAAAGCGAGCGTTGTAGGGGATGACGACTGGATAGGGAGCGGAATCTAGTATTAAGACTCGGCTTTGGAGTTTACGGCATAGGGTGACCTTTGGCTTATGTGTCTCTGGAGCCAACAAAGAACACAGGACTGAAAGCGCACTGGCTAGGGAGCCAAGAAGACCAGTGCTTTCCTCCTGCCTCTACTGTCGATTACCTTTCATCCTGGGCAGGCTACTTAGCCTCTCTGGGTCTGGGTCCCTAGCTATTCAATTTAGATTTGAAGTCACACTTTAAGAGCCCACTCTAGGATTTAGCACTGTGAGCATGTACATCCTGGGAATCTCCCCCAGGAGAGCTGGGGGCTGGGGTCACAGCTTATAGGTAAGAATGCTTGCTCAGCATGTATGAAACCCTGAATCTGATTACCAGAGACTTCCCCTACTTCTTCTAAAACACAGCTCCAGTCAAAATAAATAAGTAAATAAATAAAGTGAGCAAGGTGGCTCATGTCGGTAATTCCAGGACTTGGGACAAGAAGGCAGAACTACTATAAATTCAAGGCCAGCCTGCACTAACTGGGGAATTCTAGGCCAGGATGTGACTATGTGAAATGGTCTCGAAAAAAAATATATAAAAAGATAAAACACAGTACCCAGGTTTGAACCAGGAACAGACTCTTTGAGGCTCAAATAGTGAATTTATGCATTCTAGCAGGAGACTGAACATATACACTCAGTCAGCCAACAATGACCGAGCTATCTCCATGGCTCTCTGTATATGGAGGCAGATGAATATGGTTATTATTCTTAAGTAAATACAGGAATGTCACAGTTCCTAGAACTATGGCAGCAGGTCAGTGGGCACATAAAGCACACAGTTAATTCCACTTGGATAGATTGGTGTTTATCTGAGACAATGTCTTGCTGTGTAGCCCAGGGTAGCCCTCCTGCCTCAGCCTACCAAGTTCTTGGATTACAAATGTGTGCCATCATGAGCAACATTTTCCCAGTGAGTTGAGCAGGCAGCACTTGGGAGAGCAGCAGGGGAGAGAGAATGGTAAAGTGAGGGGTGGGAAGAACTGTCGGCAAGGAAAGAACTAGGTCCTGGATCCCAAGGGCATGATAAAAACCCGGCACTGCATGGTGAAGGCAGGATGTAAGCCAGGCCTGGTGGCACATGCCTACAATTCCAGCATATGGCAGGCAGGGAAGAGGGGAAGAAGTGTGGTAGGCCAGTTGATAGTCTACAAAACTCAACTTGGCTGTATGGGGAGGACTGAGGAAAGGGAGTGAGGACCAGAGGTGGGGAGACCAGGCAAAGATGTTGGAGGTTGCGCTTGGCTTTGTGGCTCAAACCTTTAACCACAGCACTTAGGAGGCAGAGGTAAGTGAGGCAGGCCAGCCAGGGCTGCACAGTGAGACTCGGCCTCAAAAACAACAAACAGACAAACAAGAGATGACAGGGCTCCAAAGGAAGGCACAGGAAGGTACAAGGGTGGACAGTGATGGCTGAGATGGCGTGGAAGTGAGAGGATTCGCCCTTGACTTCTAGCTGAAATGTCCGTTACTTTCTGAAAAGGGTAAGATACAGGAAATGCACAGGTGGTGGGAAGCTGGTAGGTGTGTGTGTGTATGGGACACAATTTCTTTTCTTTTTTCTTTTGTTTTGCTTTTTTGAGATAGGTTTCTCAGTGTAGTCCTGGCTGTCCTTGAACTCACAGAGACCCACCTGCCTCTGCCTCATAAGTGCTGGGATTAAAGGCGTGTGCCACCACCTGGTTTGGGATATAATTTTTTAAGATACGTTGGGAATGTTCAAGAGACTACTATTGGCTGTGCATACTCAGAAAATCAGTCTGCAGCTGAGCAGGCAGTGGCTCAGGTGGGAGTTGGTTTCGCTTGGGTGGGTTCCAGCCCCAGCACTGTAAAACGTCAGAAAACGTCAGGAGAGCAGCCAAGGTGAGAGGTAGTCTTTTTTTTTATTTCTTCTTTCTTTTTCTTTCTTTCTTCTTCTTTTTTTTTTTTTTTTTTTTTTTTGGTTTTTTGAGACAGGGTTTCTTTGTGTAGCCTTTCCTGGATATCGCTCTGTAGACCAGGCTGGCCTGGAACTCCCAAAGATCCGCCTGCCTCTGCCTCCCGAGTGCTGGGATCAAAGGTGTGTGCACTACCACTACCCGGCTATCTCTACTCTTCATAATAGTGCTTGAAGTCTTAGCTAGAGCAATATGACAACAGAAGGAAATAAAAGGGACATAAAAATGTATCATTATTTGGAGAGAAGACCCTATACATAAGAGACAAGAAGGATCCCACCAGAAAAATGTAGTATAATTGATCCTTTCAACAAAGTGGCTGGTTACAAAATTAGATTACAGAAACGAATATCAAGTAGTGAGATGCTCAGCAGGTAAAGGCACCAAGCCTGATGGCGGGAGTTTGGTCCTCAGGCCCCCATGGAGGAAGGAGAGAGCTGACCCCTGCAGGCTGTCCTCTGCCCTCCACATGCACACTGTGGCGTGCATGCCCACACACATAGGCTCAGGATAAATGCCGGGAAAATAAGGAAATAACCTCACTCACAATTACCTGAAGTAGCAACAAGAAACTCTGGGGATAAGCCTGATCCAGGAAGCCACTCAACGGCTGAAACTTTCACAACACCGAGTAAAGAAACTAAAGACACTGAAGATGAAAGACCTCCCATTTGTATGGGTTGGAAGAATTAATACTATGAAAATGGCAAATTTTACCATAAACAGTCTGCAGATTCAATGTAATCCAACTTAAAATTTCAATGCCATTCTTCACAGAAACAGAAAAATAAAGTCAAAACCCGCTAACAGCTGAAGCAATCCTGAGTAAGGTGCTGGAGGTATCACCATGTCTTGAGTTCAAGTGATACTACAAAGCCATAGCAACAAAAACAACATAGTACTTGCTCAAAATATACACATAGATCAATGGAATAGAATATAATAAAATAAGTTGTGTTGGGTGGTGGTGGCGCATGCCTTTAATCCCAGCACTCGGGAGGCAGAGGCAGGTGGATCTCTGTGAGTTCGAGGCCAGCCTGGGCTCCCAAGTGAGTTCCAGGAAAGGTGCAAAGCTACAGAGAAACCCTGTCTCGAAAACCACCCCCTAAAAAAAAAGTTTGTTGGGTTGGGGATTTAGTTCAGTGGTAGAGCGCTTGCCTAGCAAGCGCAAGGCCCTGGGTTCAATCCTCAGCTCTAATCCCAGCACTCGGGAAGCAGAGGCAGGCGGATCTCTCTGAGTTCCAGGACAGCCAGGGCTATACAAAGAAACCCTGTCTCAAAAAAAAAAAAAAAATGTAAACCCATGCAGCTACGGCCACCTAACTGTAGACAAAAATACACACCAGAGAAAAGACAGCCTCTCCAAGAAAAGGCACTGGAAACACTGGATAGCCACATGTAAAAGAATGAAGCTAGTCTTGCTTTCTTACCCTGCACGATACCAATTCCAAATGAATCAAAGACCTTAATGTGAGACCTGGAATTCTGAATCTACCTGAAGAAAAGGCATTAGGGAAGGACTTTCTAAATGTGACAAAAGTCCATCAGTAAATAAGATCAACCATTGACAAATGGGATCTCATGGAAGTAAAAAAAAAAATTCTATGTGGCAAACAAAACAAAACAAAACCAGTTCATCAAGTAAATAGACAGCCTAAGAATGGGAGAAAAATCTATGCTAGTAATGCATCTGATAGAAGATTAATATCTAGAATATACAACACAAAAAAAATAAAAAAAATATCAAGCTGGGTATTGTGGTGCACGACTTTAATCTCAACACTAGGGATGCAGAGGCAGGTGGATCTCTATGAGTTGGAGGCCAACCTGGTCTACAGAGTGAGTTCCATGACAGCCAAGGCTTCACAGAGAAACCCTGTCTCCCAACAGTTAAAGATGAGGGCTTTCATGGAAGTCCAAGAAACAGTTTGCAAGGGAGTGATTGGTTATTAGTTAAGAGAAAAAGGCCGGGGCTGGGGCTGGCTATTGAGAAACTGCTAGCAGACCACTGAGAAGGAAGGGGGTCTGAACCCACTGAAGGTGGGGCTATATGGCCTCGTCATCACTGCCTAGTAGAGTTGTTTCGTGAATGTCGGTGAATGAATAAACTTGACTTGGAAAAGAAAGGGGGAATATGCATGTAGTAGAAAAAGTGTTGGAGGCAGGCGGATCTCTGTGAGTTCGAGGCCAGCCTGGTCTACAGAGCGAGATCCAGGAAAGCTACACAGAGAAACCCTGTCTCAAAAAACAAAACAAAACAAAAAGAAGTGGCAAAAAAAAAAAAGTGTTGGAGGAGTGTCCTATTTGAAAATGTTCATAGTGTGCTGGGCACTGGTGGCACACACCTTTAATCCCAGCACTCAGGAGGCAGAGGCAGGCAGATCTCTGAGTTCAAGCCTAGCCTTGTCTAAAATGTAAGTTCCAGGACAGCAAGGACTAAACAGAGAAACCCTGTCTTAAAAAAAAAAACAAAAAACAAAAACAAAAGAAAAAAGAAGAAAATGTTTGTAGCCTGTCATGGAGAAAAACAGTAAAGAGGGAGGTAACATTCCATACATTAGACAGGCTTGGGGCACTAGGACCCTGGGGCACCTTCTTCCCCAGGCTGAAGTAGCAGATAGAGGGAGCCACAGGCAGCGACTGTGACCTTATCTGCAGAGGACAGAGGGGAACAGTAGTGGTTTAAGAATTTTCAGAAAGTGATCTTTGCATAACCAATTGGCTTTGAACTGGCTCTGTAGACCAGGCTGGCCTTAAACTCACAGAGATCCACCTGCCTCTGCCTCCTAAGTGCTGGGCTACTATTCCTGGCTTCTCTTTCATTCTTTTTAAAGGTCTCATGTAGCCCAGACTGGCCTTCAAGTCAGTATGTAGCCGAGGATAACCCTGAACATTTGACTCTCCCTCCTAGGTGCTGGGATGACAGTGTCTCGACAGCTGGTTCCATGCTTCACTTTCTAAGGAGGGTGCTTCTCTAATTCCTAACAAGCTAACCCTATGGTTCAGCGGCAGAACACTTGCTTAGCATGCATGAGGCCATGGGGTCCATCCTATGGAACCCTACAAACCTGTGGTCTGCCCGGGCCATCCTCTGACCAGGCTCCACACACCTGGGGCAAGTTGTGGCACTGCCCTCCCTGCCCAGTCCCTCCAGTTAGTCCCACTGAAGCTCTTCACCCTCCTATCTTGGCAGGTGCCCACCCCCCTCCCCCATTTTCACCACACTGATGCCATGGACCTCTTCACCTCTGTCTCCTTGCCCCTCTCAGCCTCTGGAGAACAGCAGCTTGGTTTTTAAATCCCTGCATGCCCAGTCTGTGTCTGGGCGCAGCACCCATCTTAGGAAGGTTAGTGACTGAATGCTGGGGGAGGCGGCTGCTGTCACTGCTGCCATTTTGTGCTCTCTCAGATATAAGCAGGTTGCCCAGCTGGAGGAGAGGACATCTGGCCAGTGTGGAGTCCAGCAGTGATGTGTCTTCCCTCTCCTCTGAAGGTGAGTCCAGGGGACCTATGGCCCCCACAGGCTACATTACCCCTTACTTGTGAGAGCTAACACTTGGCGGAGGGCAGGGATCTTGATGGGATTACCCAGATGCCCCAGGGTCCAGTGAAATGGCTCATGGGTAAAGGTGCTTGCTGATAACCTGACGACCTGAGCGTGGTCCCCAGGACCATGTCACACTGTGGAGGACCCAGCTGTCCTGTTCTTACCTTGTCTTCTACAGTGCCAGAGAAGGCCCCTTCCTTGAGTCCTGATCACTCCTTAACTTTGAAGAATAATTTATGGTACACAAACATGAACTGAGTCCTCCTAACCTTGCATAATAGCTATCCCTGTCCCATTCTGTGGATAAGGGAGGCTCAGAGAAGTAATTTGTCTTAGGTTAGTTACCCTATTAAGTGAAAGAGCCAAGCCTTGGGCTCCAGGCTCCGAGCATATGCCTCCCTGCTGCCCTTTGCCTTAATTTAACAAGGTCCTGTGCACACTCTTTACTTCCCTGGGGAGAAAAGGCACAAGAGAAAGTGGGTGAGGGGTCCTGTGGAAACTTGGGAGCCTCAGTCTTGTGGGGGAAAGGGAAGGCCTCCAGGAGTAAGCTTCAGACCACTTACTGTCCTCTCTCTCATGCACTTTAACGGACACAGACACCTGGGCTTCCGTACCCTCTGCCTGGGTCAATGACTTTCTGCTGGAGGGTCTCCGTGGGGCAGGAGGCAGGGCTGTTGAGAGGCATGTTTACTTTTAGATAGGAGCAGAGGGAAATCAGGGGTCGCCTGGATCCCTAAGCAAGGTCAGAGATGAAGCACTGGGAGCCCCATGAAAAACTCATGTAGCTCAGTAAGAAGTGGGAACCTTCCCTAGCCCTGGAGGCATCCTCGCCCTGTGCCTGTGAAAAGGGATGCAGTATCACGTTGCCTAATCCACAGACTGCCATAGGCCATGGCAGGTTGTCCAGCATTCTGTGGTTCTGGGAGGAGAAGGTGATGTTTAAAGCACCACCCCCTTCCTGGGAGGCAGGGCTTCGCTGTGTAGCCCTGGCTGGCTTGGAACTCACTCTGTAGACCAGGATGGCCTTGAACTCAGAGAGATCCACCTGCCTCTGACTCCTGAATGCTAGGATTAAAGGCCTGAGCCACCACCGCCCTGCTTAAAGCAATTTTTAAAAAGACTTACTTGTGTGGGTGTGGCACCTTGGCAATCTGTGGAGGTCAGAGGACAGCCTGCAGCAGTCAGTTCTTTTTACCTTCAGCTGCTAAGCACCTTCCAGCCCAGACTGACTTTGATGAGTCAAGAGCAGGGACGGAACGGAGAGAGAAAGGTGGAGGGGGAGGGGAGGGGAGGGGGCTGGGAGGAGAAAGAAGGCAGATGGAAGAGCCAGAACATGCAGGGAGAATGCTGTAGAGGCCTAACCACCACCCTGTGCCATTTGGGTGGAGGGCACCAGAGGCCACCTGGGCCTGTGCAGGGGCAGGTGTCAGAACCAAGGCTGCCACTGTGGGCTTGTCTGCCAGACACAAAGACATGGCCATTCCCTACCTGGCACTGTGGAGTGTGGTGGCTGGTGACGACCAGCAGTCGGATCCACAGGAGAGATAAAGGTGACCCAGAACAGCAAGGGTCATCACCTCTGATCGTAACAGTTGTTGGGGGGAACCAGGTGGCAGAGAAATTTGGTGAAGCATTAAGAGTGAGGTGTGCCCGGCTGCCTGCAAATGACCTAGACCCCTCTCCCCTCAGGTGAACTCCAGGAGACTGACAGGTGCTGCTGGAAACACCAGCAGTGTGCTGGACATATCATCCACCCCTTCTTGGACTGTGGCCACCACAACCGGCACATGCACGCTGTCAGCCACTGCGACTGTGAATCTAGGTGAGGGCCCCCTTCATGGGGGACCCATTCCCTTCAGGTTTCCCTCTTCAACTTTGGCCTGGTGCTGCCAGCCTAGCCCCAGCTTTTAAACCCTGCTCTGCTCCGAGAACAATGAATGGGGAGCTCTCTTGGCAGCCTGGGCCAGGCCCAGAAGCAGCTGGCTGTCCCTCTGGGCCCCTGGGGAGTCATGGAGGTATGGGAGCCGAGCTGAGAGTCTGGTGTGTGCAGGCTGAAAGACTGCTCAGGGAAGACAAATAGTAGCAGATCCCGAGATGTAGGCCCGACCTGCTCCAGAGATCGGGGCTCAACCTGCTTCAACATCATCCATACCCCTTGCTTTGAATTCATCCCAGAGGAAGAGTGTGTGGAGCGGATCTGGTACAGCTGGTGAGTGCCAGCTGGCTATGGGGACAGGACTCCAGAGTGCCCTGCTTCAGCTCCATGAATTTCTCCCTGTCCCTTCCCCCCAGGTGCAAAGGCTACAGGCCTCTCTCTGTGGCAGTAATCCACCATCCCATTCATCATGTGTGTAGGACAGATAACCTACACGAGAAGGAGGATGAAGAGGATGAAGAGGAGGAGGAAGAGACCCCACCTTCCATCCCAACTCAGTTGTGCCCCACCGCCATACCTACTGACCCAGACATCGGGTTGGTCTCCAGGACTCCCGACTCAGCAGCGCCCATCACCATCTGGCGTTCTGAGAGCCCCACAGAAAAGAGTCAGGAGGGCAAGGCCATCAAGAAGATAAAGAAGAAAAAGGAGAAGGAGAAAGACAACGAGGATGAGATAGTGGATGAAAAGGCAAAGTTGAAGAAAAAAGTCAAGGGCAAAATAATTAAGAAGAAAAGCCCGGCAAAATCAGAGTCTTCCCCTCCAGACTTGAGCCGATCACTAAGCCCAAGAGAACTAGTCAGGACATCAGAGTCCAGCCCAGAAAGTCGGGAAGAGCTGGAGAGTGAGGACAGTTATGAACGGGGTAAAAAGGAGCCCTCCAGCGAAGATATTGTGGAGTCATCACCCAAGAAGAGAGAGAAGAGCACCTCCCAGGCCAAAAAGAATGGGACAAAGACCTTACAAACCAGGAAAACGAGCAAGAGAAAATCTCCCCCAGTGTCCAACCCCAATCTCAGCTGAGGCCAGGGCAACCAGAGTGAATAAATCAAGCCTGTAACTGACCCCTACTGCTATTCTCTCTCCCTCCAACAGGGCCTCTTCTTGTGGGAGGTGGCTGGCTCTGGGCCTACTAGAGCCAAGGGGCCAGGGGTCAGGGGATACTCAAGGGGCAATCCTGCTTTCAAGGAGGAAGTCTATGTCTATGGGAAGTTAGGTAGGAGGGAGAGAGAACCCTCCTAGGACCAGGTGGCAGAATCATCTGGAGAGGGAATGGGGTGTGGGAGACCAGCGCTGTGTGTGGAAACCCATTCTGTAGTGGGCATCACTGTGCAGCACCACCTTCAATAAACTGAACCTGCCACTCACTCGGCCTGCCTTTCCCTCCTCGAGTGGCCCAAGGGATGGGCTGTGGCACCATGGAGGACATGATCTTCCCAGCTGGTGTAGTCCCAGCCCTTCTCCAGCCTTGCAGCACATAGACCTGTTATGCTGGAGAAAGTAAAGCGTTCCCGCAGCAGGCCAGCCCTTTCCCACCAACACAACAAAAGGCGAAGAAAAGCGGGTATGAGCTCAAATGCAGGCGGCAGTGGCGACCCAAGCAGAGACAAAGGGGGAGGCTTTACTCTCCCACACTGAATCACCAGGAGATGAAGCCTGTGTGAAGAACGGGGAAACCAGACACACAGTCTAAAGAAGGCGGCGGAAGGAAGCAGAGCCAGGGGGCTAGCTGATCCTGAGCCGGGGGGTGGGAAACAGCCCTCTCCCATGGCCTGCGTGTCTGAGGGTGAGCAGGTGAGGGGCCCATTCTGGGCAGAGAACTGACTTCTCAGCGGCTGTCAGGGACCAAGGCACAGCTGGGAAATGAAGGGGTGCCCAGGGGCTCACAGATTTACTTTTCTCCACTGTGTGAGAAGATGAGAACACCACAAGGGTTTGGTGGCCCCGGCCCAGCATTTCCTATTGCCCTATGTGTGTTGTCACCTCTTGGGACAGCCAAGCTAAGACAGAAGCAGGACCTGAGTTCCCAATACCCATGCATGGTGGTTAGAGCCACCTATCACTCGAGCTTCAAGGGAGCCAAAGCCCTCTTCTGGTCTTCTGTGAATACACCCACACATGCACATGCATAATTAAAATTAACCAGGGGTTGTGGCACACACCTTTAATCCCAGCACTCAGGAGGCAGAGGCAGGTGGATCTCTGAGTTCGAAGTCAGCCTGGTCTACAGAGTGAGTTCTAGGACAGTCAGGGCTACACAGAGAATCCTGTCTCGAAAAACCAAAAACCAAGAAAAACAAACCAGAAAACCCTTAAGCACACGTGTGTCACTCCTGCAATTCTAGCATTCAGGAGGCAGAAGCAGGATTACTGTAACTCCAAGGCCAGCCTGTGCTCGAGACTCTACCTCAACACAGCTAACAAAAGATGTAAGAAGTCCACACAGGGTCATGGGGCTCAGAGCAGGAAGGTGACCACAGGCAATCTGAATCCTGGCCTCTGACGGATTATGAGGGGAAATTTTTGGAGTTTCATACTGCTTTGAAGCAACCCTTCAGAGCAGGGAGCTGGAGAGAGGCCTCGGCAAGTGCTCTGTAGAAACACTGTTTATTCAAATGACAGGTGAGAAGCAGGTGGCCGTGGGTAGATGAGGATAGGTAGGCAGGGCTGGCAGGTCAACACTGCTCCTTATGTCCCCCACAGTCCTGCTTTGACAGTCACCAAAGCACTGACATCAGGACCCTCCTCTCCCGCCTGCCTCAAACTGAATAAATAGCATTGTCTCCCCATGAAGGCTGGGGACATGTACAAGTCGAGCCTGACGCCCCATTCTAGCCTGTGTCAGGTGAGGGCAGAAACTCAAAAATGGCTTCCAGGGAGATTACAGACTGCTCCACTTCCATTCTCCTCCCTCTCAGCCTGGTCCCAGGACAGGTGGTTGGCACAGGTCTGGAGTGGGAGAACTGCTCCTTGGTGCACACCAGCTCACAAGGCCATCCAGCCTGCCACCCATCCAGGCTGACCATTAAAGAGAATGTCATTTCATGCCACTTTATGGACAAAAAAAGAGGGGCAGGGAGTGAGGCTGTGGGTGGCCAGGCCTCTTGGAGCCTCAGAGGTAACCAGAGTCCGAGGAACAGGCCCCCTACCGATCCATCTCATCCAGGAGTGGGGTCGCATCGCCAGCAATGGACATAGGGGTGCTTTCGATCATGGGGCTGGGAGAGGGTCGAGGGGTCAGCCGCTGTTTCTGTTTCCGACGTTCTGCCTCCTTCTCCTGTAGCCACTGCTCGGCCATCTTGCCCCAGTCGATGGCTGCATGGCTGTTGGACCTGGAGCAGAAAGGAAGGGCCTTAAGAGACTAGGTTCTTCTGTGATCTGTGAGAAGGGCCTTCCCCCCAGTCACAGCAGAGATTACAGAAGGAACCTGACTCGTACAGGAAGCAGCCTCTCTCCTGCTTTCCCATTCTTCCCCAGAACCCATTGTCCATGGGCACATCTCCTAGGTCTTGGCATTTAAGAAGACACAGAATGTCTGCTTCTGCTAAGTCTTCAGGTCACATGGCACCCGCCCCCCCCCCCCCCCACACCCACACTAGTAACCCGCCTGTGTGCGCCCCTCTCCATGGACTTACTTTGGCTGTTGCTGCCGTTGTCGGGAGCTGGAGGAAGGCTGGGGCTGGGCCTGGGTAGACTGTGGGGTGGTGCTGGCCTGGAGCTGGTGGTATTGTGGGGTGGTAATGGGCTGGCTTGGGGTCGTGTAGGAGTAGCTGGGGGTCATTAGTGGTGTGGCCACCGGCTGCTGGGCTGGCGTTGGGAATACCTAAAGAGGGGTGGACAGAAATAAGGGTAGGGTGTGGGCTTGCTTGACTTCATTGTGAATCTCTGACAGGCCATGAGACTGGCTGTGAACAGTGCTTCCCAGCTGACCCACCAGAAGTGGTATTTATTTGGGAGAGTAAAGAAAAGCAAGGGTAGCATCAGCATACAAAATTGTCCACCAATCTTTAACACCTCAGATTACGTGAGGGTTCCAGATATCCCACAAGGCTCTGTGCAAAGGACAGGCCCTTCCCTTCTTACTCCCTTCACTGTCAAATGTGCTGGAGATAAGGAACATCTGTTAAGAGACGGTTCCTAGGCCTGAGCACAGGAAGCTCCGGGTGGTGGGCATGGCCAAAGGTGTCTACAGCATCTGAATCTGTAGGTAAAGACGATTGCTCCCTCCCCTCGCCCCCTGTCAGGAAGAATCCTCTGAAAACACATACATGGTAGGTAAAGATGATGCCCTCCCCCCTCCCTGTTAGGAAGAATTCCCCGAAAACACATACATGGTAGGCGCTGCTGCCGCCTCCACTGCCACCGTAGCCGTACTGGCTGGACGCCCACTGGGCTGGCGTGGCATTGGGGTTCTGTCCCTGCCCTGTCACAGCAGCAATGGCACTGAACATCTGCGAAGTCATGTTCTGGGGCAAGGCATTCACAGCCCGTGTCAGATCTGCAAACACATGGTTGGTCAAGTTAGGGTGTAAATCCCTTCAATTCCCTACTGCCCTACAAGTCGCAGCCCCAAGCACCCCACCTGCAAGATTGATGTTGGCTGGGGTAGCATTGATAGAAGCAGGGGTCCGAGTCCTGCTGCTGCTGCTGGGAGTGATGCCTGTAAGAAACAGATGCAGTCAGTTCTGTTCCTCAAGAAAGCTACTCTGGCTTCCCAGTTCAAGAGTCAGAAGAGGTTTAATCTCAGCACTCAGAAGGCAGAGGCTGGTGGATCTCTGTGCGTTCAAGGCCAGCCTGGTCTACAGAGAGAGTTCCAGGACAGCCAGGGCTACACAGAGAAACCCTGTCTCAAAAAACACAACAAACACAACGAAGTCAGAGAGGAGAGGGTGGAAGAGGAGCTGCAGAGCCAGTGGGTGGAGCCTCCCCGTGCTCAGAGCGGGAGCCGGGGCCAAGCAGCTGACCCATAACTGACCTCACCTTCCTGAGCCAGGACCGTGTCCCTCTCAGCACAGCCAAGGACGGGTACAGCAGAACTCACCTGGCACAGGGTCCTGATAGTGATCCTTAAACCACCTGAAGAGCCCATTCACAGTTGGGAAGATCTGGCCCCGGTACCGGAATCCTTCAGGAGTCACCGTGACATATTCTATCCTGAGATTTTGTAAGGAAACAAGCATTAGATATTGCTTGTTTAACTAGTTTTATGTCAACTCGACACAAGCTAAAGTCACTGGAGAGGAGGGAGCCTCAGTTGAGAAAATGCCTCCATAAGACTGGGCTGTAGTGGTGCCGGAGAGATGGCTCAACGGTTAAGAGCACTGGCTGCTCTTCCAGAGGTCCTAAGTTCAATTCCCAGCACCCACATGGTGGCTCACAACAATCTGTAATGAGATCTGGCATGCAGGCAGAACACTGTATACAAAATAAATAAATAAATCTTAAAAAAAAAAATAAGACCAGGCTATAGGCATGTAGGGCTTTTTCTTAATCAGTGATTGATGTGGGAAGGCCCAATCCACTGGGGCCTCCCCTGGGCTGGTCTTGGGCTCTGTAAGAAAGCAGCCTGAGTGAGCCAGTAAACAGCTCTCCTCCATGGCCTCTGCATCAGCTCCTGCCTCCAGGATCCTGCCCTGTTTGAGTTCCTGTCTTGCCTTCCTTCCATGAACTCTGATATAATAAACCCATCCCCTTGCTTTCGGTCACGATGTTTCACCTGTGGCCACCTGTGAGAAAGTGACCAAGTAAGTGTCAACCATGTACACAGCCGTACTGGATGCTGGAGGAGGGGGACAACGGGGAGGCTGCACATGACAGCACCATCAAGGGTCAGGGGCAGTGGCCTTGTGAGCTGAGGCTGCCCTGGAGATGGGATGTCTTTCCTGAAGACCGCATGCTACAGCTGAGAGGAGACCAAGCTTACAGGACATGAGGTGGGAAGAGGCCTCGCTGGGCAGCTCCAGAGAAGCAGGGAGAATTCTTCAGCACTCTAGAAGTCTGCCAGAAGTCTGCCCTCATTCACTACTTCTGACGGCAGCAGAGTGGCTAGGAGGATGGGCCTTAC